GAAGCTCACATTATACAAATTATTTTCACGAAGCGACTGTAAACCTAGCATTATTAGAATAGTACTATATATATAAAGTGGTAGCATGAAAGTGGATTTAATTGAAGAAATATTAGAGAAAGAAAAATCGTAACAAAGTCTTTGTATGTATGTATATTGTATATTGTATATTGTATATTGTAAAGGTTAAAAACAAAAAGTGAAAAATTAGACTATTGGAAACAAGTTGTGCTCCTTTTTTCCAGTTTTTTTTGCTATTTTTAGATTATTATTGAGCAATTGATGTTTTTCTTAATATCTAAAAATACCAACCTAAGAATATCTTCCTTAGAAGCAATATATGTGGAAATAGTCAGGATTTATCACTTTCAAGCAGAAAAACGATGATATCTTTCTCATTATTTAATTTTGAATGGGTTAGGGCCTGCCTCACAATAAATGTAAGGTTATAATTAAAATTTCAATAATAGTCTTTTAACTTCGTGCTTATCTTAATTTCTGCAGAATACAATTATTCATGAGAAAATTTCTAGTGGACAATCGTTTACAATTACAAGAGACAGCTCATTAAAATGTCTGAGATTTCCTTTTACGAAATTACTAAAAGAACTTTTCTTTTTTCCATTTTTAATATTTTTAATATTGCAACGAAGGAAAGTAATCTAAAATTTACCTTTCCACAAAATAATATTTCTTTCGTTCTAAAAACAAAGATGTTATCATTTAGATGAGATATAAAAATACCGAAATTTTTATTTTGTTCTAAAATAAAAAATAATAAGAATATAAAATAAAAATTTACGTACACTCCCCCCTTAGTCCTTTTCCAAAGCAAAATTTTGGAAATTCCCCAAGTTTTCTCTTTTTCAATCCATGACAAATTTTTAGCCGTAATATGATATTTTAGAGACTTCAGTCTTAAAAACCCCACGGAATTGATTTCACAGGAATTTGTTCAAATATATATATAATATTTGAATATATAAAACTCAGGTAAAGTACAGATTTTGCATGAGTAAGAGGTTTTATAATCAATAAAAATAAAACCTCAGGATTTGCAACTTTTAAATTGCAAGCCTAATTAATTTCATTGATGCAAAATAATGATTAAAGTTGTCAATCTTGTTTAAAATCTTAGGTTTAGGATCGAAAAGCAATGGATTCTTTGTCACAAACTCTGATTTTCTAATCCCAATCTATATCTTCGCAACCCAATGTCGGACACCTTAGATATTTCAAACTATGAATTCTGTTACAGTGATAACCAGAAAACTCTGGAATAAGAAGTCGACTTGGAGACTCTAGTTATGACTTTAAAAAGGCCAATGAACATGAAACAATGCAATTGTAAAGTGAAACAGACCCATTTCAATAAATAAGTGATTCAATAACTTGCTAGTAAAGATATTTTCTTTCTAACTACATCAAATGCACTTCAATATTGCTTTAATATCGTCTTCACTGTAGATTACAAAATCTAAATTTGAAATATCAAAGGTTTACACCATTAAGTTGCAAAGATTTAGACATTTGAAAATTCTAGTTTGCAACAAAGACTCAATTCCTTTGGAAAGTTTGTCGCAAATTATTTTTTTAGCTAAGAAAAGTTTCAGTTATCATTGAAAACAAATAATATTTCAATCATGTGCAATTTACTTTAGGGTTCCGGGACTATGAATAAGTACATTGATTCTTGTAGCAGGTTCTTTTTATTTACTTGAGGGTTCCGGGACTATGAATAAGTACATTGGTTCTTGTAGCAGGTTCTTTTTATTTAGGATTCTCTGCAACTTGTTTTTTTGCTTAATCATTGAATAAGACATAATTCAAGGCCGAACACTTAATTTAACCTCGGAAGGTTCAAATATAAAGAGTTTCAGGTCGTCTTTACAGTCTCATCCTTTGGTTTTTGTTAAACCCTAACCTGGTCGTGTTGCAAACTTATCAATATTTAAACATTTTTGAGGTATTATTTGACTTTTGAAATCTTAATAAATAGTTTTAAAAAACTAAGAAAATTTATATGAAAAATATTTTTCTAATTCTGTTTTACGTCACGTGTAGTATGAGAGAGCGAAGAAGTATTTAAAGATAAGTATGTAAAATAAGTCTTTAAAAAAATAAGAATGATAAAGAAAATTTCAAAATGATTAGATCATTTCTCAAATATTCAAAAGTTCTGCCCCCCCTTTCTTCCTCTCACATAGGACACATTTCCCTCCCGCCTAAAAGTGTTTAAGAAAAAGTACATTTTTATTGTAAGTTGTAACTAAAATTATTAAGTATTTACTATTTATTTACTTTTTAATCAAAAAATTAATTGTTTTGAAGTTTATTTGTGTCCGGGTGTTTATTACTTTGCACGCAGATTCCTCTTTTAGACTTAACACCACAGATTACCGCTTTAAATATTTAAAATAAATGGCTGGTTTTAACATTGTTTTAATTCACGAGTTACCCACAGGCTACGCCATCACATGATGAGACTTAAAGGACCTTTTTAAGCGTATATTGTATATTTTATATTGTATNTCGTGGGAGATATTGTCGTTTTTCTAGGTTTACATTTTTAATCTAATAATTCCTATATATTTTCCTGCAGTAGAAATGCGCAACTCGCTTTCGTAGAAAACACACAATTGAAAAAGCCTTGCCGTTGTTATTTAATTTATACTTGATCAAGCTTTTAAGGGAACTGTTAGAAATCAGACAGTACAATCTTTGCATGGAGAGTCACTTTAGATTATAACGGTTAACAGTCCCTTTAAATGACCAAAACTTCTTAAAATATAAAAAATTTCCGGATTGAAACAGGTCTTATTCAGTATTAGTTTCACGTCTTTAAATAGTGATAAAGTCACGCGGATTTAACGGTTCTGTCAATATATCAGAAAGCTGTGGCTTTTGATCACAATTTGAACCATTATACGTAATATTTTAGCCTTTTTTTTGTCGGCATATACATTTTGAATGAAAAAGTATAAAATAAACAAATCCGTAAGTTTAAAGATTGTTGAATTATAGACCATAACACGTATGATTTCAAATAAATGCAACCGAATGCTTCTCACTCTCTGGTTAGTCCGGGGTGAAGCACTAACCAATTTAGTGTTTTATTGTAAAAATAAAAGAATTGAGCCTTTGCCACAAACTCAAATTTTTTAATCCCTATCTTGTAGACTCTTGATATTTCAAACTTAGATTTTTTGGTCTAACAGAATTCAAAGTTTGAAATATCCAAAGTCTACAACATTTGGTTGCGAAGATATAAAAATCAGAAAATCAGGGTTTGTAGCAAAGACTCAATTCCTTTTGAGAAAAGATTCATAAGTGTGTAACTATCACATAGATCCAGCCAGCTATGAAAAAGTTGCATCAATTTTCAGGGCTGGGTCATCTTTAAGTGTCGCAATGCCTTGGGCTTTGGTTTTACTAAATCATTGTTACTTAAGACATACATATTCTAGTTTGATTTTAGTTTAAATTTGAAAGTAGTAATTGGTAAAATCTTAATATATTTTTGGTTGCTGCAATGTGCCCTATAGATANAGTTTGATTTTAGTTTAAATTTGAAAGTAGTAATTGGTAAAATCTTAATATATTTTTGGTTGCTGCAAGGTGCTCTATAGATTAAAAAATATATTTAAAATTGAAAAACTACGCAGAAAAATCTTAGAGATTTATTAAAAGAGACATTCTCGAGCCAACATTAAATTCTTTCATTCTGCGTTGTAAACAATTCCTGAAAATATCTAATTAGCTGAGCTTCTAGAAATTTCAAAAGAAAACATTTTGTTGAAAAATCCGGACCGCGGGCATTAGCCTTAGCAACAATTTGGTCATGTACGTGTATAATTCTATCATTTTCATTTTTATTTGATGTTTCTGTAATATTCACAGTAAACGTTGAAACCCGTTAAAAAAAGTAAATATATTTCAGTTCATCAAAAGCTATAATAGGTAAAAATATATGCGATATATAATATAATATTTTCATACAGTCATAAAAAAACTTAAAATCTTTATTTTCAAATTAAATTTTCATACTTTTGTTAACATACGATAGTTAAGGGAGTTGAAAGTATATAATGTCAACTAATCAGTCAGTAGAATCAAAAAGACAACATATTCAAATTAAGTTTAAACATCAAAAATGTTGACTGTGTTATGTTATAAGAACAAATTTGGTTTGAGTTGAAAGAAATCTTGAATGCAATTTTATAGGATTTTCAAGACAGTGTACACTGTACAGTGTACCCTGTACAGTGTACACTGTACAGTGTACACTGTACAGTGAACAGTATATATGCATATATGCAAAAAGTATATGTTTATTAAAACTACCGATTAAATATCTATATAATTTATATGTACAATTTTACAAAAAAAATCAAATCAAATTGAACTGATTTATTTTTAATGAAACTTGACAAAATATTTGTAATTCCAGATCTAATTTACAGGCAAAAAGTATTTTTGGTTTGGTTCATTAATAAACTAGGGTTGATCTGGTTGCTATTGAATTTTAAGATTGGCATAATTTAGCGATTACAAATTTTATCATTTAACCTGAATTTGATCTTGTTAAGTGTTGTTTGGACATGTTCAGATAACTTTAGTTTGGTTTGGCTTAATTTGGTTTGGTTTGGGTTGATTTGGATTGATTTGGTCTGATTTGATTTGGTTTGGTTTGGTTTGGCTTAATTTGGTTTGGTTTGCGTTGATTTGCACTGACTTGATATGTTTTGGCTTGATTTTGGTTGATTTGGCTTGATTTGGTTAGGTTTTGGTTGATTTGGTTTGATTTGGTTTGGTTTGGGTTGATTTGGATTGATTTGGTTTGATTTGGTTTGGTTTGGTTGATTTGGATTGATTTGGTTTAGTTTGGATTAGTTTGATTATTTTAGGATTGGTTTGGCAAGACTTGGGTTGTCTCTTTTCTTCGTTATTTGGGGTTTCCGTTCTGCATTGGTTTGATATGGTTTTAATGGTTTGTTTTGTTAAAATTTCGAGATTTTTCTTAATTTTGTTCGGGTTGGGTTGTATGTGTTTCCTGAATTTTCTTGGTTTAGTTTGGTTTGCTTTGATATATTATGTTTGATTTGGATCTTGTTGAGGTTAAGTTTTGTTTTGTTTAAAGTTCTATTTGAGAGAATGGAGGATTGTAAATACTTTTCTAGGACTGTCCATCATCTGAAAAATATATCTGGGTTAAAGAATTATCATTATTCATTTAAAGTGTGTCCTGCCTGATTTCCCACTATACACATGGAAACCTTAATCAAAAAGAAATCTTAGTTTTTATTGCTTGAAAAGTGTTTAATTATGATAGTTTATTCATTATTTCTGAAGCAAAAAACAAACACAAGAAACTGTTGTAATTTTCAATTGTAACAAGAAGAATATATTTTTATCTAACCCCTCCCCCCCGTCCCATATAAGCTAGCGTTAGATAAGTTACAACTGGCTTCACTTTATCCGTGTAAAACAAACTTTTCATAATTTTTAAAATAATATTGTAATTTTGTTCTGACCTTTATGGCATGAAATTATGTATTTTTACAGTAAAGTATTGTATTTACTTTACTCAGAAGTAAATACTATTAACTTAACTACTTTACAGGGTAGTTTTCCTTGGCAAAATTAGTCAAGGGAACCTGTGGTTAGGGAAAACTGTTATTTTCCCGAAAAAGTAGTTTTACAAACTCTATCGTCTTTTAAATGAAACCTTTGCAGAGCGCGATTTTATTTAATTAATGGTTTTTAGTGACATGGGTCGGTGATATTGGTGAAAAGGTGGTTAAAAAATCTTTGTAATAAATCAACCCTAAAGATTGTCAAAGAGTTAAAACGTAATGTCAACAAAAGATATTTTTATATACAGTGATAACCAGAAAACTCTGAAATATGAAGACGACTTTTAAACTCAAGTTAGGGCTTAAACAAGTTCAATGAACATATATATATTTTACCTTGTTCCATTGTTCTCGCTCTTTATCGCCTCTTACATGCTTCCCTAAATGAAATACACTAGTCAAATTATCCATTAAATCCTTTTTTATGTTTTTGTCTTTTAATCAACATTTTTGCAAGGATAAAAATCGGAATCTGAGGTTGCAACTTTTGTATTTGTAATCACTATTAAGCATGTTTTTGTGGTTATTCATTCATAAGTTTTGGATACCTCACATGAAAAAATATCGGTAAATCCGCAAACGTATTTTGTTATTTTTTGATAATTTGAAAAGAGAAATTGCCACAAATCGAGGCAAAATTTAAAGTCAAAATCAAAGATGGGCAAGAAGCATCCTGGATTTGGAAGCCTATTGTGTATATAATTACCTAGACATAAAACTCCAAGAACACTATCTTTTTGTTTTCCACTAGACGATGCTTTCCTCCCTCTATCAGCACTAAAACAATTATATTTTTGATTATTTTTTTTTAATTTTCTTTCCAACAAGTGAATCATGATTCATATGCTGACTCAGCAACTTATAGGGCGTCTCACGGAACATGACAGTTGGTAAATAGTTTAGAACGTCTTCTTCCATAATTTAATTGATACCAAAGACAATAATAAAATATTATACGGAAGTCATATTACAGTTAAATTGATTTCAAAGTAAAATATATTTGAGCAAAAGATTTTTTAACGAAATAAACTGCAAAAAGCCTTTAATATCATAATACAGTATATGTAAGACGACATTCAAAGCTATTTATCAACTGTCATGTTTCGTGGAATAAATGTTTCGTAAAATAATAATATCATTACAAATATTATCAAATATCTTAAGAATATTCTTGAGTATTATATTCTTCTAATATTAAAATATAAATGGACTTTTAACCATGGACCAGATTTGATAATAGCTAGAAGAAGTTGAACCTTTTAGACGTAGTTGAACTATTTCACTTGTGTCAGATTAAAGTTGAAGAGAAGTGGCTTAGCAACTTTTACGCAGTTCGATTTTTTCTCGCTTTTTATAAAATCTGGTTCCTCAGCTGAAAACTTTAGAGTTATGGATATCGAGATCAATGCTTGACGATTTATAAAATCTTTATATTGATATCCAGAAAGTGTCTAAAATTGAACCAATCAGAGTATTGTTAGCATAAACCGAACAGCCAATTAAAAGCCGGGAAATTTTGCAGATAATTTATGAGAGAACTCTCATTGGTTGGAACCAAGCAGTGATAACAAAAGAGTGGATTAACAAGAACATCTGAATTTTACACAATGCATAATTTAATTAAGCGATTGGTATTAAGGGTATCCAATGCTAAAGTTTTCAGCTCATGATGTACGATGAGTATAAACAAACCTAAATACCTTGAAATATCAAACCTATACCTTGAAATATCAAACCTATACATTGAAAAATTAAATTTTATTGCTTTAAAAAATTTAACCTTTACCTTGAAAAATTTAACCTAGATAGCTTGAAAGATTTAACCTATATAGCTTTAAAGATTAAACCTATACCTTGAAAGATTACACCTATACCTTGAAAGATTAAACCAATACTTCAAAAGATTAAACATACATACCTTGAAAATTTAAACCTATACCTTGAAAGATTTAACCAATACCTTGAAAGATTAAACCAATACCTTGAAAGATTTAACCAATACCTTGAAAATTTAAACCTATACCTTGAAAGATTAAACCTATACCTTGAAAGATTTAACCAATACCTTGAAAATTTAAACCTATACCCTTGAAAGATTTAACCAATACCTTGAAAGATTTAACCAATACCTTGAAAGATTAAACCCATACCTTGAAAGATTTAACCAATACCTTGAAAGATTTAACCAATACCTTGAAAGATTAAACCCATACCTTGAAAGATTTAACCTATATACCTTGAAAATTTAAACCTATACCTTGAAAGATTTAATTTATATAGCTTGAAAGATTTAACCTTTACCTTGAAAGATTAAACCTATATACCTTGAAAGATTACAACTATACCTTGAAAGATAGCTTTAAATTTAAAACTATACATTTAAAAATTTAAACCTATACCTTAAAAGATTAAACTTATACCTTGAAAGATTAAACCTATACCTGGAAAGATTAAACCTATAGTAGGATTCAGCATCTGAACTATCAAGGTCTAAACCTATCATTCCTTCGCCTACATCATCTAAGTCCTCCTAAACAGAAATATTTGGATTTTTGAAGAAAGAAAATGAAACTGAAGTTCCTTAATACACAATGTACAATGTTTGTTTGAATTACTGCACGTGGTACTACGTGCAATAGTTTAAACGACCAAATCAATGATTTAATAAATACTAAACTTCAAAAGGCAAATTATGACCTAAAATAATTAAACAAAAAATAATTCTCAAAAGTGGGTGGATACAAAACATCTAAAAATACCAATTTCTATAGACATCCAAAGGTAAAATAAATACCCCCTATATTACCAAAAAAAACTCATATTCATGTTTGCTAAAATATTGCTACCGTTTGGCCATGTTTACTAAAATATTGTTACCACTTTTGATTGTTACCTCCTGTTCATGTTTACTAAAATATTGTTACCTCTTGTTCATGTTTGTTAGAATATTAATACCTTTTGTTCATGTTTGCTAAAAGAGTGTTACCTCTTGTTCATGTTTGCTAAACGATTGTTACCTCTTGTTCATGTTTGCTAAAAGATTGTTACCTCTTGTTCATGTTTGCTAAAAGATTGTTACCTCTTGTTCATGTTTACTAAAAGATTGTTACCTCTTGTTTATGTTTACGAAAAGATTGTTACCTCTTGTTCATGTTTACTAAAACATTGTTACCTCTTGTTCATGTTAACTAAAAGGTTGTTACCTCTTGTTCATGTTTACTAAAAGATTGTTACCTCTTGTTCATGTTAACTAAAAGATTGTTACCTCTTGATCATGTTTACTAAAAGATTGTTACCTCTTGTTCATGTTTACTAAAAGGTTGTTACCTCTTGTTCATGTTTACTAAAAGATTGTTACCTCTTGTTCATGTTTGCTAAAAGGTTGTTACCTCTTGTTCATGTTTGCTAAAAGATTGTTACCTCTTGTTCATGTTTGCTAATAGATTGTCACCTCTTGTTCATGTTTACTAAAAGGTTGTTACCTCTTGTTCATGTTTGCTAAGTAAGACGACCAGTACAGTATGATTCTCCAACTGTGCAGGCTCAGCCTATATACAGGGTGTCCCACATTATATTAGATCGTTTATACCTCAAATTTTTTTTTAGGGACTAATCGGAAAACTAAAACATAATGAATATCTTTTAGAAGTATAAGATTTCTATAAAAGTTTTCTAGCATTATGTGCGTATTTTTGCGTTAAAGCTTGGAAATAATCTAATATGATATGGGATGCTATATATAAATGTATATATAAAGATATCAAATGTCGTCTTGACAATTATTTGGTGTTTTTTTGCCTCTGAGGCCGTGAGGCCGTTCCTTCCTTATACTAAATTGGTCGACAACTTGGCGTCTTCTATATTGGTCGTCAAGTGTACTGAGAAATTATCTATCTATCAGATAAGAATTTAGCATGAGACATCTAGAGGTCTTTATATCGTCCCCCAAAGTACGTGAACTACACGACCAATATCTATAGAGATACTGAAGCTGTCTTGTTTTTCTTGTGCTTCAAAAGTATATGTGTTTAATTGCACATCAAACTTTCTATTGCATGAAAGACAAAGTTGTTTTTAAAAATAATTATTTTTTTTGAAAAGGTAAATGTTTATCCGTGAAAAATGCAGAACAACGTTATCAAACAGTATTATATAATTTGCGTATTTGCGTCCCTACTTTATTCATTAGAACACAAAATATCCTAGGATTGATTAACTAGTTTAGACACTACGAAAGTCCTTCCATCGTTTTCATATTTTCGGGATGAACTTTAGTAAAAATAAAATTACAAAAACAAATATTTGTAAGCTAAAATTACGCTCCAGTTTTTCTATGAATAAATTTACATTATTTCTCAACACAAAATATACAAATAAAAAAGAGAGTGACATTTTTGTAATTTTTTTTTATAAACCTCTAACCTCGAAATGAATAGTCTCGTCGAAGAACGGTTCTTTAGTATCGTATTTAATCGCCGATTTCTTCTTTTTCACCAATCGGCCGGATTGGTTGAAAAAGAACAACTTCACGTACGGATCTAAAAAATATATTAATCAAATTAAAGAACCAAATGAATCTTCAGTTTTTACCATAATTTTGTTGAATTGATATTGGTCTGCTTTGCGGCAATTTTTCTTGTTATTTTTCAAAGCGTCATTTTTGTTTTAATCACACAGCAATCCAAAAAACAAGTAAAACTTAAAGGGATATTTATAAACTTAGAAATAAAATATGTATAATCATATTTTTGAAGAAATTTCTTTTTGTGCTAAAATCTGATGTGTTGCACGCGATATTTCGATTTGCAATAAACCATTTTTTTATTTCATATTTTTGATATTTCATGTAATTAAACTTATATTGTTGTGACTAAAATAAAAATCTTTGCTCGTTTTTAAAAATCTAAATCCGTTTTTGTTGATATTTTTGATTTTTTTTAATGAATTAAAAACAATAAAAGTTATTGATTATCATTCTTTAAAATTAACGATAAAATCAATTCAACATTGATGGGATAATCACAAAACATTGAAAGCTTTAAAAACTAAAAACTTTTTATTTAATTATCCAACGTTAGACCAATAAAAAAACGGTATTCAACCCAGGCTATTAAAGAATCATTTGATCTGCAATTTTTATAAATCAAAGGCAAGAGATATAAAATACTAACTTGGTTTTTTGCTGTTATTTTGCTGATCTTCCTTGTCAAACCTTAAACATTACAGTTGTTAAACAAGTGAAAGAAAATAATGATGATAATAAAAAGAATATAAAATACTTCGTAATAGTTTCTAATCATGGTACTCTTGCTTCAGTATTACATCTTCTATATAATAAAACAAGACATTCATATATATATATGTTCCCTCTGGCCGGACAAATGGCTGAACCGAATGGGCTGACATTTTTTTTAGGGAACCCATGGGTAACCTGGGGCGACATGGGCTCAACAAATTATAAAATTTGTATTTTCAAAGATCGAATTTTTTCAGTATTTGTTTTAAATTCCACGGGCAACGCCGGGCCCTTCAGCTAGTATTGAATAAAAACAAAAGATGTTAATTTTTCGAAAATATGACGAAGTAGATATTTTGTTTTCTGAAAATAAACAATTCTTTCACCCTTAGTTTTCTTCATGAATGGATCAACTCGATCAACCAAGCAAGAAAATTTTGAGATTTATATCCTGCCATATTGGTTTTAGAGCAAAATATTTTATTGAAAACCCCTTCTCATTTCTTCGACATTTTTGATTTTGTAGGCGAAAAAACTTAAAATCACTTTTTTTCAGAGACACTCTGTATATATATGTTGCTTGTTGTTTGTATTGTTTGAACCCAATACATGTTGACTACTTGTCATCTTTATTTTTAATTATAAAATGTCGCGTCGGCTTGGTTTCTATAATATTGAACTAAACGATTTCTAAAATAATCACATAAACATTTTTAGAAATATACGCATTGCAACAACTTGAAATCAAATCCTGAGCGAAGTTATTTAAGTTATAGAAAGACCAACGACGACATTATTTTCCAGATCCCTGGGCGGTTCTAGCCAAAGAGAATAGAATATATATATTAGAGTGGAATTTATGCAATCCCTCGGTATGAATTTTGTCAGTCCCTTTCAGTCTGAAAGGAAGTTCAAAGTGTACAAATCATGTAAATGTTCACAAATTATACGCAGTAGCGTACAAAAATACAGTATGTTCCCTAGACTATCCATTTCAATTTCGAATTTTTTAAAGCTGTTAAATAAACTTTATAATGAATTAGGTGAATAAAAAACATCATTTGATTTATAGTTATAACGGAAAATCATCGTTTGTAAAGTGAAAGGCATGGAGTCTATGTGAAATGATCATTGGTCAATTATGAAAAGAGCCTATTTCATAATTTGGTTTTCTTTTAATATTAATTTTAGATTTTCTATAAAATGATATTCCAGGGCCCAAAAGGTTTTATAGCATAAATATGTGAAGTACACCTGCAGTATGGAAACAGTACAACAAAATGGCCGTTTCACACTTTTTTCTAGTATATAAAAATCCAGTTATAAAGTAAAATCTTTGCAAAAAAAGTCCAAAAACTTATAAAATGTACATTTTTGAAAAGCCCTTGACCATGCCATTTCAAATATGCAAAAAAATTAAAAATTTTAAATAAACTTATGCGTAATTAAGGAAAATTAAAAATCTCCAAATTTCTTTTCACCGGTTGTATGCAAATAGTTTACAAACATTTTTTGCAAATCTTGTGCAATCCGTTTCCTTATGCCAAATGCTTTCCAAAAAGCTTAAATTTATCAAAATATGACAACTTAAAGTGGATTAAAACAAAGATTTAGTTTGGTTGAGGACTCAGGCAGTTAGTTTAAAAGCCCGGTTTTAGACCTTAAGAGAGGACTAGAGAGGACTATGGGTAATTAGGAAAAGTCAGAAAATTTCAATACCCTCAGACCAATACTTTTAGAGTTATATTAAAAAAACTACAGTAGGGGAGGGGGTTATGTTGACCCCCCCCCGTAGGAATAGGGTTAAGAATAAAAACACATCTTAACTTTGATCTTTTTCAATGCTTTGTTTTTTCAATAAGCTGTCGGTGTCATAAAGTTAGCGAATCATAAAAGATAATTTCTAAACATAAAAACACTTGATCTGAAAGATGTTGCCTGCCTGAAAATCAAGTTAAAATGCCTTCAAAAACAAATACAAGTGTAAATTTTACATAGTCATCTGAAAAAGTCAAGGTTACGCTGGAAAACATTAAATGATAAAAAGTTAAAAAAAAAAAAATATTAAAGTACTTGACCTTTATTTCGCTCTTCTGCAGGTCAGCAACAAAGGTCTGGCTGTAAAATGGATTATGGGCATGCCTTTGGATCATAAACCAAACCTTTAACTACTGGAAATCATGAACATTTTTGGGATCTTGCGATTCTTGATCTTCGAGGGATCTTATAGCGATCCTTGTAGTTAAAAACATTTAAAAATAGGATTGTGGAACAATAACAGTTAATTGAAAGGGGCAGCAGGCGTTAGTTCAAGTTTTTATTAAGTACAACTTTTGTTTAATGAATTTTTTTAAAATATTGAGCCCAGAACTTAATTTAAAATTTAGAAAATATTTAAATTTTTTTTACATTTTTTGTCGTCATTATTTAATTTTTTTTTCTTAAATCGAGTCTCAAAGCGTAACCACCCAACTCTATATTCCACTCTAATATATATTCTATTCTCTTTGGTTCTAGCTTTTTACCTCAGATTGGACGCTTTCCCTAGGTTAATGGAGAGTCTCTGTGCAGTGGGCAGATAGCTGAGTCCAAACTAGAAATACAGAAAATTAGAAAACGCAGCCCCTTTCCATCTAATTTTTTCTTATGTTTTTAATTTTACATGATGATTTTTAACAAAACGAACGTTTATCAAAGGTCGAAATTAATAACAAAAAAAACATAACAACAACAACGAGATGCAACATTTCTGTCCGTACTAGAATATTTTAGTCATATTTTAATCTCTCATTCGAAATTGGTTAACAAAAGTGTAATTGATACTTTATATACTTAAATATTTAATATCCGGAGCCCAACCATAAATAGAAACATACGGTTATCTACATGTGAAGAGTGCTAAAACTAAAACTTACTGGACTTCTTACCAGCTTACTATGATGTAACTCAAGTCTGAAATACTTCTTGAACTTTATGAATTCTGGCCTTGTGTTTGTATCCAAAAATTATTGTGGTATCTCACATGACTCCAGGGAAGGCTTAGGCCAGTTAAAATATTAAAAATTGGTTGCTAAAACTCTTGTCGATTTTAAATTATTTTAGAAAGCTGGCCCTCAGTAGAGTCTAAATAGAATTGACCCTAAATAGACTTTGGTCGGGAGCTACCCCCCAAAAAATTATTTGCTTTTTTTAACGAGCGCTTTTTTAACCCCCGCCCCACTGCTCCAGTATTCCCAAGCTCCAAATAGCCATCTCACCAAAAGACATGCATCATGTAAAACCTCGTCAATGTAAACAGAAAATCCTCGAATTTGTATTGTGAGGTAAGAAAAAAAATGACGTATGGAAAAACAACATTTTAAAGAAAAATTTTTTATATCAAGAAAGGGGAAAAAACAGCGAATCAGCTGTATATTCGTGAAAACTGTTTATTAGTATCGGCTGCTTTGTATCAGCTGTTTACCAGTATCAGCGGTCTACCTGTATCAGAGCTGTTTACCTGTGTCAGCTGTTTACCTGTAAAAGCTGTTAACCTGAATCATGACTGTTTACCTATATCAGGATCAGCTGTTTACCGATATCAGTTGTTAGTTAACCTAAATCAGCTGCAGTCAGTAGTATTTACCTGTATTTCGCCATTTTCTTTCTTCTGCTGAGTGAGGAAAAGAGTGAGTGTACTCCTCTCTGGATCCTATGAAACAAAATATTTTGCAATTTAGTTTAAAGTGACTGTTTACTGTTTCTGAATCTTGGAAATTGGTGCATCTTAGAATTCAATGATAGATTGATTGAATCTGTATTTCTAATGAAAATATATGTGTTTAATCTGTTATGATTAGGGTTTCCAGCGAAAAGAGGTAAAAATTTATCGGAAAATTCCGTTATTTTTTCATTTCGTATTATTAATTCATTTTCACAAAAAAATGCGAAATTTTGCGAAAAATTTTTCCCATTTTTTCGCGGAAGTTTTCGTTCGCTGGAAACCTTAGTTATGATATGTAAGTTGGAAACTTAAAGGTGAGATTTTATTATTTCTTTTTAAATTCATACTTTCTTTGGAATTGCAAAAACCAAATAAAACCTGTTTCTGTTTAACTCAAGTTTTTGTTATGTTTTGCGTCATCGAACTGTTTATAAAAAAAACTAGATTACACATAGAATAAAGTTCTCTTTTGGCTAGGATGTCACATTGGAATATAGATTAAAATGAGAAAAACATATTTTCAATATTTTCAAACATATCAAAATATTGTTTTTGAACCTGAACAGTTTGCTTTGCTTCTTTGAGAGAAACAGTGGCTCGACCCAACTCAGTAGGTCCAGTGTGCCGGTCCTGGTCCATCACAGTAAACCGTACTGACACGTCCTAAACACATACACCATCATGGTAATTACTGTACTGACACGTCCTAAACACATACACCATCATGGTAAACCATATGGACATGTCCTCAACACATACACCATCATGGAAATTACTGTACTGACACGTCCTAAACACATACACCATCATGGTAAACCATATGGACTCGTCCTAAACACATACACCATCATGGTAAACCATATGAACACGTCCTTAACACATACACCATCATGGTAAACCTTATAGACATGTCCTTAACACATACACCATCATGGTAAACCATATGGAGACACGTGCTTAACACATACACCATCATGGTAAACATTACTGATACGTACTAAACACATACACCATCATGGTAAACCATATGGACATGTCAATATAATACTGACAAACTAGTGATCAGCGTGTATATCAATATAATACTGACAAACTAGGGATCAGCGTGTATATCAGTTAATGCTGAAAAACTAGTGATTAGCGTGTATAACAGTATTATACTGACAAACTAGTGATCAGCGTGTATATCAATATAATACTCACAAACTAGGGATCAGCGTGTATATTAATATAATACTGACAAACTACGGATCAGCGTGTATATTAATATAATACTGACAAACTAGGGTTCAGCGTGTATATCAATATAATACTGACATTCTAAGATCGGCGTATATATCAATGTATGCAATGCAATGGTTAAATATAAGTGACCGCCATTTAAAATATTTATCAATTTAACGCTGTTGATTGGGATAAATATTGATAGAAGGCTAATGTATAAGTGATTGACGTATACATAAAACAATGCTGATAATTTCTAATTTCAGTTTTGTTTTTTGACCAGCTTACATTCACAACAGACTGTAGATTGCAGACGAACAAAATATGAATTATTGTCTGGAAAAAAATAATTGATTATTCTTTTTTATTTTCTTTCTTTAAAACCTGAGAACTGTTATTCCAACCCAAGGATCACAATGGGCCTTGTATTCCCGGGACGGAAGGTCAGACACTAAAAAACATATTTTAAGGAACTTCAACTTTGAAAATAAAGGAAAACCCGAGATCATTATTTGGAGTGATTGGTACTTTGTAACCTTGGTTATAATGTCTTGTTAAAAGTGATTCCAAAATAGTATGCAGAGCAGGGTTAACACAAAAGATAAGATTGTAAAGACGACTTAAAACTATTAAGACATGACAATTCCAAGGTAAAATTATTTCTTTGCTGGCTCGCATAAAGTCATGAAATGACTGATAAAATTATTTGGCAACGAAAGACAATTGCCGGGGATCATGCTAATGAGAAAACAGACAGTACACATTTTGCAAAGTCGTCTCTGAGGTCTCATCCATTTTGGGTAACCCTGTATTTACACTGAAATCAAATCAAATTGTAATAAACGTTTTTTTCTTTTGGTGAAAAATTTAAATGTAAAGCATACCAAAAATAATCAAAAAGAGATTACAAATATATTTTTTGTTGTTCATAAAAATAATTAAAAAAGATTTTCCAATTTTTTTAAGGCATATTAAAGTAGATATTTTGGAAGGCAGGTGCTTTAAATTTTTTTTTAAATGGCATAACAAATCTATTATTTAGTATTCAGTCAGTAGACACATTTTTCTCAACTATTATTAAACCTCCCAAATATATTGTACACTTTTACAGCTTTTTGATGGTTTTAAAATTTTTAATTATCTTAGGATTCAAATTAGCAACCTGATTCGACAGAAAGAGCTAGCTTTGCTGCTACGCTGCTAGTATCCGAGTTTTCCTGAATTAACAATTTGTTAGTTATTTTCATTTTATTTTCAACTACAGTGAGAAACAGAAAACTATGATCAATAGGAAAACGAATTTTGGACACAGCTTGTGGCTAAAAACAGTTTAATGAACATGATACACGGCAATTGTACAGTTAAAAGAGACAAATTTAACTGAATAAGAGATTTTACAACTGCAACTATTTGCTTTATAACAATATCAAATTCACTTAAATATGTCTATATAATCTCATCTTCCTTTTCCACAGTTTTCTGGTTCCCACTGTACCAATTCAACCTTTATTTTTACAGATTATGTACAGTCGTCGTCGTAAACATCAATACAATGAAGACGACTTTCGAGTTCAATGTTGGTTATAACCAAGCCTGTAAACATGCAAACAAAGAGAAGCTGTTAATTAACACTTGTTATAAATTAAAATTTTAATAGAAAAGTCGTTTTCATTGTATTGATATAAACGTCTACCACTGTATTAAAAGTTTGAATGTTATTATTATATTTATGTTATTATTATTATTATATAAAAAAATGTGATTTCTTGAACAAATATTGGTTGGATTATGTTGAGATAAATCTTGTTTAAAACAACTCAAAGTTTGCTTGTAATACAAGAACTTTATTAAAAACATGTTTTAAAATTGGAAAACTTTATCATGGTGGGTATAGAAAACTTTATCATGGTGGGTATAGAAAACTTTATCATGTTGGGTTTAGAAAACTTTATCATGTTGGGTTTAGAAAAATTTATCTTGTTGGGTTTAGAAAACTTTAGGAGAAATTACAGAACATTAAAATTACAGATTTATTTTTAAGAAATGATAACCCTGAAACTGTTAATTATAAAATTCTGAAATTAAGACTTGCTTTGCAAACCGCTTAAAAATTCAATTTATTTCTTCTATCAAATCAGGCCCATCACCAGAGGGATGGGGGTGGTGCTAAGGAACCCACCCCCTTCTCCTAAAAGTAGGAGTGCAACGACAAAGCTAATATTTAAGTTTTTCAGCAAATCCCGATTTTCTTATCCCTATCTCATTGCAATCCATTGTGACCATACATATTTCAATTTATGAGTTCTGTTGGATCAAATAGTCTAAGTTGGAAATATGAAAGGTTTACACCATCAGGTTGCAAAGAAATGAGGATTAGAAAATTTGAGTTTGTGGCAAAGACTCAATTCTTTCCCTCCTGCATGTACACTTGCTTAGCAAAATATTCAATGTCGCAGCAAATATGGAAATCATGAGCAGTTTACACAGTGTACATGATAAAAAGTGTAATGCAATGTGCAGTCATGCAGTGTACAGTTTGTACACCGTACATACCTGTTTTAGATTGGTTAGTAGAAGAGACACAGTGATTGACGAACAGGCTGGAAGTGGCGTACAACTAAAAAGCTCTTTATAAAAAAATTGTTTTTAAAAAAAACTTTTGAAAGAAAATTTAATACTTTTTATAGAAATCAAATTTTCCAGAAATAAATTTAATATACTTTTTAGGAAAACCAATTTTGTTAAGATTTCTTTAGTTTAATTCAGTGGATATGTATTTCTTGGAAAATAGTTTTCAATTAGAAAATTTTTTTTTCGGTTTCCTTTTTTGCAGTACAGTGTTTTGAGGCGGCGTCATTTGTTCTGGGATTGATCCTATGGACGCTGTTGAGGTTCTGTATTCGGACCTGTACAAATTATAAGAATTAAGATACGCTGTTGAGGTTCAAAAAAAAATTGCAAATTTTTTGCAAACAACCTGTCAAAGGAAATTTGCACATTTTTAGTTTTTCTTGATTAAAAATCAGGTTATTTAAAATTTTGCAAAAAATTTTGCACATTTGAAATAGCATGGTCAAGGGCTTTTCAAAAATATATAATTTTTCATTTTTTTGACAAATTTTATTTTGCAAACATTTTTACTATAGAACTGGATTTTGCGATAAAAAATTCAATTTTTGCAAATTTGCAAATTTTTTTGCAGATTCTAAAAGTAGAGCACAAGAGCTTTTCAATGATGTATCATTTGTCATATTTGGACATCAAACATGGGATTTAGAGGGGGGGAGTCAAATTGACCCCCCAGCATAGATAGGGTTAATTAAGCAATGTTAAGTTTTCGTGAAAAAATTGCACAATTTTATCTCAAAAGACGATAATATTGTGTACATCTAATTGTTCGGGAAATTAAAAACTTATCTTAACCACTGGCTCCCTTGAACAATTTGTAAAAATAATATATCAAATAAAAACTTCAAAAACACATTTTATTAATGATTTTAATTCTTATTTCTTTGTCTCTATAAAGTCTCTTATATGTCACGGTGTCACTGTCATAGACCTTATATTTTAAACTATGAATTCTTTTTGATCAAATTGCTTAAGTTAGAAATATAAGAGGTTTACATCATCAGGTTGCAAATATATAGTGATTGAAAAATTTGAGATTATCGCAATTCAAAATTAAATGAAAATCCATAAAAATTTCTAAATTGTTTTCATTCTTTTCAGTGATATTTTTTGCTACGTAAATATTTACAAACCGGGATCCATTGTTTATTATATCTGAGGCTCATACAACTGGAAATATGTTTTGCTTTAGCTGTTACGTGAATAATTCTTAATTTGAGATTACATAAACATTGCTGCGTTTTATCTGTTCGTAAATCCTGTCCTGTGATTGGTTCAAATATTTCCCGAATTGGGGAAAGGGTGAAATCGAGAAAGGAAAGAATTTTAACTTTAAGTTGTAGCTTAAACTTTTTCAAAACTCGCGCATTCTTTAGTTTTAGACTTGTTTCTTAGTTTAATCATCTAGTAAAAAGTACATATTCCAGGGAGCTTTTCAACTTTTTAATTTCAATTATTTCTATGGGGATATTTTGTTAAAGAAATCTGCGAAAGTGTATAATCTGGGATCCATTGTTTTGTTATCTATAATGAGGCTTATTCATCAATTTCTAATCAGCAGTCTAGCATTATATACAGGGTGTCACAATAAAACATGAAAACTAAAAATCGCCTTTGAAGCCTAACATAAAAAATGTTTGATACAAAATGTGGGCCACCGTCTTTGCTTGTAAGTTGTACATAGTAAAATATTGGATGTTTCGGTAATTTCGAAATGACATGTCATTTAAGAAATTGTTTTTAATGTCTTAGTGCGCGTTTATTAAATGATATTTTTGGACCCTAAACAGGATGAGGGTCTTTATGTTTATTTAACCAATGAAGGGGGGGGGGATATCCCCACGGGCTCCATCCCCTAAAAGTCAATTGTTAAAATATAAAAGAAAAGAGAAAAATTCATCTACGAAATTGCAAGGAATGTTATTTTTTGATAAAGCAAATTTTTCAATTGTTGTAGTTTTTAATCTTTAATTCCAGAGGTGAAGGTGAACGGTAGATTTTCAGAAATTGCAAAAAGTTTGTCGTAAAAATGTGAAGAAAAAACATGCTCATATAACTGTTTCTTCTAAAATAGACAGCAACTTTTAGTGGGGACTGGAGGTTACTAACCCCCCCCCCCCACCATTCTAGAATCTTTCTCTTAACAGACATTTGTCTGTTTAAAAACTTGTTAATTTGTTGTATCTGACACAGATCTATAAATAATGACCGTGGCATAATTAAAGTCTATTCGGCCATGACATCTTTAAATTTTCTACAATGTTTAGTAAAATCTGTTTTAGGAAACAAACTCTTAGTCAGTGTCTAATTAGTGTCTAAGTACATGTGTAATTAATAATTGTAGGATACTTATTTAAAGGGATTGTAAAATTAATTTCAATTTTTTCAAATGAGGTTTCCTCGAGAATTTATTGTTTTAAGTCCTTCTGTTCTAATTTGTACATGTCTAAATCTACAAAAAAAGAAGATCTGAGAAAAAGATGCAAAATGAAATACCAAAGCATAACGACACTTCAAGTCCACTTAGTCTATAACAAACTAAATTTTTGTTTTGACCCACTTTCATTAGTTAGATTTTGATACTTTTTGGAAAGCTTATTGTACAAGTTTTGAAAAGATTTTTCAAATTATTTGCAAACATCCCGTAAAAAGAAATTCTCACATTTTTAGTTTTTCCTAATTACACATCAGGTCAGGTCAGGTTATTCAAAATTTTGCACAAGCTCATAATTGAAATGGCATGGTCAAGGGCTTTTCAAAAATGTATAAATTATAATTTCTTTTGAATTTTTACTTAAAATATGGGATTTAGATGGGGGGGGGCGGGGGGATACTGGTATTCAAGTACCCAAGCAGGATGGGATTGAAACAACAAAATTCAACAACATTATTTTAGCTCTGTGATAAAACGTGTGGCCGAAATTTATGATCTAAAATTATTAGAAAATATGTGAGCCAATCATTTAAAGAGAAGAATAAAGTTTTTTATAAAATAAAATATATTTTTGATCTTTTCATTAAAAAATATATTATTTTCTCTCCTATTTCTGTTTATTAATCATATTATGTCGAGGTAAGTAGGATTCAGAAAACTAATTCTAGCATGAAATTATTATGCAGAAAAATGCTTTATATTTTCCAGTTTTCGAGTTTATATTTTTCAGTCGGTTTCTTAAAGGGACTGTATTAGTTTTTAGTTTTTTAACTGACATTTTATTAATGGGGTGGGATTTTCGATTTATAAAGGTATCCCCAAAATGTTGTGTCTGATCAAGTAAATCAGATGTATGTTTTTCATGTCATGCTACAGTGATAACCAGAAAACAATGGAATAGAAAGACAACATTACAGCAATACTTAAACGTTTTGATGTTGTTACAAAGCAAAAATGTTTACTAGTAACTTAGCAAAGCACTATTTAAGTGAACAGGGTCTATTTACACTGTACAATTGCCATGTCTAATGTACATGGACCAAGTTTAAGTCCTAACTTGAGTTTAAAAGTCGTCTTCCTATTTCAAAGTTTGCTGGTTATCACTGTAGAAACACGACGTAATGACGTTATCTTTCACATTATTAATCAGATGATGTGGATTCAAGGGCATCATTGTGAATCGGGCATGCCCCTTTTTTAATAAGGTATCATTCTAAACTACAACGATATGAAAAAAGAAGACATGTCATGCCAACTTTAAATATAATCTGGCATTCATTCGAAAACACAATTTTGACAGTTTAATTCTTGACACAAGAATCATGAGATTTAATTTGACCTGGCAATTCCAAAACGTGGTCTGCCATTAATTACGACTTACATTACTAAAGAAGATTTTTAAATGTCGATAAATTACAGAAAATCAAAATTGTGTAACCTTGGAACACCATATGAGATAATGTAAGTTTTTAAATGGTTAATTTGTAACAAAATTCATACATTTTGAACACAAAAGTCTTTTCTTTTGTTTATTTTTTTTAATAAGAATTGGCTTTAAAATATGTAATTTTGAAAATTGGTAATGGTTCACGTTTTTCCTAGATAAATGTTCAAATCTGACGTTTAAACTAGTCCGACATTTTTAAGTTTGTAAGTCTGACGTTTGTCATGTCCGACCTATGTACTGTCCATGTCCAAAGGTCNAACCTTCATAATTTGTAAGAAAAGAGAGTTGTATAGAATGAATGAAGAGTAGATAATCTCTTAAAATGTTAAGTATTCAGGAGACAAAGTAATCTTTAGATTAGGTCTGTAAACTTTCTTAGTTTTTACAGAATACTCTGGTTCTCTAAATCTGGAAACTTTCATAGTTTTTACTGAATACTCTGGTTCTCTAAATTTGGAAACTTTCATAGTTTTTACTGAATACTCTGGTTCTCTAAATCTGGAAACTTTCATAGTTTTTACTGAATACTCTGGTTCTCTAAATTTGGAAACTTTCATAGTTTTTACAGAATACTCTGGTTCTCTAAATTTGGAAACTTTCATAGTTTTTACTGAATACTCTAGTTCTCTAAATTTGGAAACTTTCGTAGTTTTTACTGAATACTCTGGTTCTCTAAATCTGGAAACTTTCATAGTTTTCTCAGAATACTCTGCAGTTCTCTAAATCCAGAAACTTTCATAGTTTTTACTAAATACTCTGGTTCTCTAAATCTGGAAACTTTCATAGTTTTTACAGAATACTCTGGTTCTCAAAATTTGGAAACTTTCATAGTTTTTACTGAATAATCAGGTTCTTAAAATCTGGAAACTTTCTTAGTTTTTACTGAATAATCTGGTTCTTAAAATCTGGAAACTTTCATAGTTTTTACTGAATACTCTGGTTCTCTAAATCTGGAAACTTTCATAGTTTTTACTGAATACTCTGGTTCTCTAAATCTGGAAACTTCCATAGTTTTTACTGAATACTCTGGTTCTCTAAATCTGGAAACTTCCATAGTTTTTACTGAATACTCTAGTTCTCTAAATCTGGAAACTTTCATAGTTTTTAGTCAATACTCTGGTTCTCTAAATCTGGAAACTTTCATAGTTTTTACTGTGTAACCCAACTCCTTCCTTTTTTCCTCTAAAATTTGTTTAAAATGACTTTAGACATAAATGCAAATAAATGGTTCTTTATTTTATTGAGTATTTTTTCATCCTCATCCTTATTTAGTTACACTTACAACGGAGTCTTTACCAGAAACTCAAATTATCTATTCCAGCTATATCTTTGCAACCTTATTGTGTAACCCTTTGATAATTCAAACTTAAATAATTTGATTTAACAGAATTCATAGGTTTGAAATATCTAAAGTTTTCGACATTGGGTTAGAAAAATATAGGGATACAAAATCAAAGTTGGGGCAAAGATTTAACTCCTTTAGTATTTTTAATTTGGGTTCCCGGTTTAAAGTGACAGTTTAAGCGTAATTTCAAGAGACCTTTAATGCCAAGATGGCAATGCAAGATTCACAAAGGTACCAATTAAACATCTGTCTGAACAATAATGTGGAAGATATTGTCATATCCTTGATATTAATGTTTTTCAAGGTTTATAAGTGTTCTATTCTGATAATTCTGATAATGTGTTCCTGTAGCTAAAATGCGCAAGTCACTTTTGTGTATAGAGAACCCACAATTGAAAATAATCAGCTTTAAAAATTGAAAACATTGATATCTAATTTATACTTGATCAAACAAAACTTTTAACCCTATTGGTCTGAGGCTGTTGAAATTTTCTGACTTTTCTAACATACCCAAAGCCCTCCCTTTAGGCCTAAAACCGGGCTTTAATACTAACTGCCTGAGTCCTCAGGCACACTGCCTGAATGACTGCTTTTGCCTGTAACAAACTAAATCTTTGTTTTGACCCACTTTCACTTGTCAGATTTTGATAAAATTTAGCTTTTTGGAAAGCCTATGACATAAGGAAACGGATTGC